GGCGTGTGATCGCCCAAAGTTGGATGATGATATCGCTTGACGGCTGCAAACAACAGACGTCCACGAAGACAGAGAATGATGGTGCAGCTTGAGCGGCAACACAGAGCAGAGAGCAACCGCGCTCAAGAAGGAGAGTGAGTGAAAGAGAAAGTAGCTGATGCGCCCAGCGCCGACCGATCCGAAATGAAGACCGAAATGAAGACGAGAGTGCCCATTGGACGACGGCATCGGCACACACACAATGCACAGTGGCTGGCTGTGTCTGCTCTGAACTTGCCATCAACAGCTGATATCGACTGGTGTCGTCTGTAGTGCCTGTTGTCGGAGTGGGAGCCTGCACTAGTTACACTTGTTACATGTGGTGCTCAAAGAGTTGAGAGTGAGAGCTGCTGCTGTCCGCGGACAGTGCCACCGCTGTTGCTGCTGCTGCGAAAACTGGTCGTGCTTCTTCTTCTGCTGACGCCGACGCCGACCGAGTGACGCCAAGAGACAGGGTCAATTCAGATCAGCGGACGTCGACTGCACACCACAGCACACACGAGCACACATCACAGGCAGGCAGACACCGAGTAGCTCTTTTCCTGTTCTACTGAGCCAATCTCCGGCGCACAGCACAACTGGGTCAATAACAGTAGTTCTACTGGCACTTCCGCAATACGGGCAGCCTGTGTGAGCCCGCGCGTGTGAGTGAGAGAGTTGATGGACTTGCCAGTGGCTCTGCACAGCAATGGCTGGCTCCCAGGGCGATCCTAGTGGGCGAATGGAGTTGCCGAAGCAGCAATAACAACAACCACAACAACAACAAGTAGTAGTAGACAAGTAATCTTGCTGATCCTCCTGCTGATGCAGCACTGATGGTCATCTGACGTCGAAACAGGGCAGGACGGCAGCAACAGCAGCGGTGCACTCGTTTGGAGGCACTTTGTACCCAAGGCTGGTTCGAGCTGCCAGGTGGAGAGTGCAGCGGGGTGAGGAGTGGGGGTTAGTGGCTGGTGGTTACATTGCACATCGGTGACCAGAGAAGATCAACGGTTAAGTGCAGGCAGACTGCAAGAGGACTCGTCTCTACTCGATCTTGCCCGGTAGAAGACCAACTCGATACAACAGGCACAGAGGCCGACCAGCTCACAACACACACACACACACACTCAACAGCCAACGAGGGCGCAATCGAGAGCTCGCTGATAACGGGGCTCACACCGCTGCTCACAGGCTGCTCCTGTTGCCGCTCCTGCCGATGCTGATGGTGACGATGATTTGCTGGCGATGCTGACTGTCATGTGACGAGAACGACGACGATACGCCAACACACTACAACCACCAGCAACTCCACACGGCACACTTCCTCGCCTCGAGAAGGGTCGAGGTACGCCAGGACGCCTCGAGGATTAGGCACGTTCAGACAGACAGGCAGGAAGTTCGCCCACCAGCGGTGTCCAGCGGCGTCTGCTAGTGAACCCGAACGGTGAGGAACCAACGCCATCACATTCACTGCGAAGTCGTCATTCACGTGACGCGTTATGGAACGAACGAATGAAGGGAATGATGAAATGCACAGTACGACTGCTGTGCTGCTGCAGCANGCCCACCAGCGGTGTCCAGCGGCGTCTGCTAGTGAACCCGAACGGTGAGGAACCAACGCCATCACATTCACTGCGAAGTCGTCATTCACGTGACGCGTTATGGAACGAACGAATGAAGGGAATGATGAAATGCACAGTACGACTGCTGTGCTGCAGCAGCAGCAGCAATGACTGTTCAGTGCTGTGAGGGGGCGTGGCGTTGACTCGTGGCTCCCTGTTGTAACCAGTGCTACACAGCACAGCAGCGAGCTGCCTGATCAGAGACACTCGCACACAGACGCCACAGTACTCGGAACTAAACAACACACACACAGTTTTTGGCACTCTCTGCTGGCGTCACAGCTGCGACGTCAGCAGCGCGGAGATCTGCTGAATATGGTCAAAAATTCAGCTACCACTTGATGACTGGATTCTGGTTCTCCTTAGCGAGCCATTTCCAACGGTACCGCACATGTGGGGTGGGAGCTGAAGGGGAGCCCGAGAAAAGAGGTCTCAAATGTTGTACCTCGGAGAGTGAGGCACAGCGAAACCCGATTCAGCTTTGACGCCGTTTTTCCGGCACTTCCCAGGCAGCTAGACCCCACAAGTGGGGCACTGTTGGAGTTGGCTCGACCAGGTGAATCCAGTTCCGCCCTCAAACTCGAGTTGAACTTTTGTGTGAAATCCCGAACGCCCCCTGGCAGCAGGCAGGCAAAGTGAGTAAGCCCATGAGTGTGCTGTGAGTGTGCTGTGCTGGCTGCTCTTTCTCTCTCTCCTTCCTTCTCGTCTCTCTCAGGCAGGCTCTGCCTGAGCTCAGTTACTCGCTTGCCTTCGTCCGCTGCGGTCGTCCTCGCGATCTCCTCTGCTGTCTGCTGCCTTCCACTTTTCTCTCTCCCTTCGCGAGATCAACTGACTGACTGAGTGCGTCGTCGCCCGCTCCCTTCACCACCGCCACCACCATCAGCCCAGCTGTGTATTTTCTGGCCAACACCACGGCATCAGCAGCATAGGAGCAATCCCCTCCACCAGTCAGCCATTTTCTATTTTGCCTCCCATAATATCGTCTTCTGGATCCCTGTTTCTGCATTAGTTTCGCCACCACCGCCGCTGCAGCCAAGGTAAGCCCTCTGATCTATGTCACCCCTGAGCTTTGTTTTTGTTTGAACCCAACACACTCACAACACGCACCAGGGTCTCAGCTTTTCTGCAGCTGCGCCATATTCCATTTTCTCAACCCTCTCCTCTGCATGTTCGTCTGTTTGCCTTCTCTTGATCATGTGATTGCTTCTGTTCTCGCTTTTGTGTGCTTTTTTGTTGTCTTCACTCTGTGCCTCTTCGTCGTCATCATCAGCGTCTATTCTTGACGTTGTGGGATGCTGTAGGCGGCCATCATCAGCTCGGCTAAACCTACGACAACGATGATGATTCTCTACGGCTACGACGACTAAGTCTACTGCTACGGTACACACAGTGCGCTGATCTGTTCTACAATGGCAAATCTGGCCTCTGCGGGGTGATACTTTTATCGTGGTCGCTATGAGCCGCTGAAGAAGCAGTCCGAAGTGCTCAAAGAAAGGGCACTTGTAGATTAACGGCTTCTCCAGCAGCTCTGCTGGTGCCTGTGTGTAAATATTGTGTGCTATTATCCTCGTCGTAGTGTTGTATACTTGCTGCCTCACCGTCATCATTCGACGCCCTAGTTCCGTCAAATGATCGTCGAGTGTTCAATTGCCTACAATTTGGTATACTATAGTAGTAATAGTTGTAGCGGACGCTCATTTTGCAGAGCCGCGCCAGCACTCACTTAGTTGGTGATATTTCACCACGGGCACGGCCCAATTGCTCACCCATCCTAACTGAAGTGAACCGTAAATTTGGAAGTGTTCAGAACTTGGAGCTAACAAGTGTCTGACGTTGGTGCTTGCCTTGCATTGCACCGTCCGTTTATCACTCTCTTTTCTTTCCTGCTCAGTCATTACGCCATGTTTTAGTAGTAGGCGGTGTTTACACCAGATCTGCACGTCATCGTCTCTAGACGCCAAGTGCATAAGGCCGCTCTCGCAGCCCCTGTGGTCTGCTGCTGGCCAGCACTCCCCCTTTACTACGTCCATTTAACTGTCTGTTCTTTTTCTGTCCAGCTGCAGACTAGCCAGGCCAATCACACACACACACACACAGTCATCGCGTTCCATAGAGTGCCCAGAGGCCTTTTTGTGGTAGTTAAAAGTCTCTCCACTTCTCTTGTTACTTTGTGCTCATTTTCCGTACGTCTGTTTTTCTGCGACTCACTCTGTGCTGTGCCTTGCCTAGCTTGCAATGATGGCTCTCTTTCCTTCTCTCCTGTTCCTGACGAAGGCAGGCTGCAATCGTTCCTCTCTCTTTCTCTCTGCTAGCGTCAAAAGTGGTGCAGTGGCCAGGCCACCAGCTCCACCAGCAGTGCAGCTTTCTTTCAGCGACGTAGTCAACCATTTTCGGCGTTTAGTACTCCATCTACCGGTGCTGGCCACACAGCGGGCAACTTTGTAACAGCAGCAGCAGCTTCGCATTTGCATTTGCGGGATCCTCAGACTCCACCGCCGCAGTCTCCACCACTTCAACCACAACGAACCAGCTGCAGTAGCAGAGGCAATACGATATGGCAGTGAGTGGGCAAACTTAAATGGCAAACTCTGCAACGACGACTACGGCGGCTGCAGCAGCCAGTCAGCCTGAGAGCCAGTCTTGTGGTGCAGTCAAAGTGAACGCGCTCATCACGTTTCCCGAGCTACCTTGTTCGCTTCTCTCTCACTCGCCCAGTCCATTCCTTCTTGTGTTTGGTCTGCTGTCTAATCAGACTCGCTAGCCGAAGTGGTAGTCTCTCTGTCGTGGTTGTGCTGCTGCTGCTGAACGGCGACTAATTCGCGTCCATCTGCACCATTATCAGTGATTGTGTGCATTACGACGTAAGTGCGACGTTCTCCGCTTGCTTCGAAGTCACACCATCAACCCGATGAGCCTTCTCCGATGAGTCTATTCTGTTTGGTTGCCTCAAATTGAGAGTGAGTGAGTGTGGAGTTGTACACACACACTGAAAATGTCTAAACATTAAGCAGCCTTTTGCACTCCAAGTCTCCTCACTTCAACATCTTTAAGCTGCTGCTGTTTTGCCTGTCTCTACGCTGTTTGGCGATCTCTCTTTAATCGTTCAACTTGCTCGCGCAGCACTTTTCTACAAACACCACCACCACTACTGCAGCAGCATTAGCATTAGCACCGCCATTTCTGCATTCACTTCCCTCTTTTTAACGACAATTTTGCATTCAACTCCTACCATGCGACGCCACATCTAATTGAATCCCCCTCTGTTTTTCCTTTGTTTACAGTGCTATAATTTAAATAATCACCAGTTCGTCTTTCGTCCTCTCCTTATTTCGTCTTCCTCAACGATTTTCTTCAAAGATGGAACGCGACACGAATCAAATGTCCCAGCAGAGTCCGTCGCTCTGTAGGGCAAGTTGTGGATTTTATGGAAACCCATCAAGTGATGGTCTCTGCTCGAAGTGCTACAAAGACGCTCTGAAGCGCAAACAGGCTGCACCAACCACTGCCTCTAGTTCTTCGTCTTCGATTAGTGTAGATAATGCTGCTAGCAATATCAAAACGCTGATTCAGAACGTTGCTGCGTCTTCATCAATGAACCCTACCGTTTCTTCAAATGTATCTGCGATATCTGCTCAAGAATCCACCACTAGCCAACCTAGTGCAGAGGTACGTTTAATCGGCACTGCTTAATCTGACCGCACTGTGCCCAATGTTACTCATTTATTAATCCACTGTTTAGGTTGCCAAGGTTGAGCCAAGCGAAGAGTCGCCAAAAGTTGATATGAACGAAAGTACCTCTGAAGCGGAAGCTCCCAAGACTCAAAAGAAGAAGAAAACGAAATGCGCAAAGTGCAGAGCTAATGTTGGCGTGATAGGTAGGTGTTCTCTCTCACTGGCTCCACTGACTGTGAAGTGGCCAAGATCACCTTACTGATTACTAATTGCTTACTTTTCCCACTTCTCTCTCTCCCACAAACAGCTTTTCCCTGTCGTTGTGGCGGTATCTACTGTGGCACGCATCGATATGCCAGCGAGCACAGCTGCACATTTGACTACAAGGAGCATGGCGCTGAGGAGATTCGAAAAAATAACCCTCAAGTTATTGGCGAGAAGCTGCAAAAGATTTAATTAGTCGATTGTTGTGCTGCAGGTCGCTCGGTTCTGGCACTTCTCTCTTACCCCCTTTCCAGTGCGCAGACCTCGGAACTCTTGTTTCATTCGTTAGATGATCACAGTGATCACCATCACCTTCTCCACCACTACCAACAACAACCAGTCACTACTCTAATTGCGAACCAACCTTTTTTCTTCTCTATCCAATCGCTTTCTTGTTCTATCAACCTTCAACCTTCAATAGCCGAATCTATAGAGAACACTACATTCAACAAACACCCCCAATGCCCCACACTCCCCACGTCCCAGCATACACACGCCACCAACACACAGCCCCCATCACTGTACATAGCAAATGTGTGCCTGTAAATAACCCCTACTCTAATGGAGATTTAGTGCTACTGATACTACTATCCCATTGTGCGAAAGTGAACATGTGAACTCCTTTCACCACCACCTACCCTCACACACCCTAGGCGCTTATACATATTTTTCTGTATTTTCTTTACATTATAAAATTAACAAACGCTCTTCACCAACACTCTCTAGACGATTCGTTCAATCTCTTGGCTCTTTCTCTCTCACTGACCCATCGCTTCCCTTCCCTCGCCCTCTTTCCCTTTCCCTTTCTCCTTCTCTTTCCACACTTGCTGTCCCCATGCAAAGACCACCCACTGTACATAGTCGATACTTGCATCAGCCAATATATTAAACAATAAATCAACCTTGTATGATGATTATGATGAGCACCATCAGCCATTGTATATTGTCTCCGCGACATCGTCCTCAGCAGCAGCAGCAGAATGGTGGTCCACTTTGACTGTCATCACTGTCCGAAGGAGTGAAACTGAACTGAACAGCGTCCGCACACACCAGTGATATTATTCTCTTTTAGCCGGTCGAGCCTGCATCGGCCCAACACCCGACCTGCATGCCTTTCTCATCTACACTTCACACCACTCCCCTCTCTCCTAGCCTCTTTCACTTGTTCTCATTCTCTCCATTCTCATCATCTCCATCTGCACTTGCATATAACCGTTGCTCTGTTCCACTGTCAATCACCACTGATATCTTCTGTCTCTACTCTAACTCTCTACTACTTCGCTGCTTGACCACCAATCTTAAACACTTACCTACTGTCGATAAGAGATGACGATGTTTGCTACTGACGATGTTTGTGAAGCCAGTCCTGTGCACACACCANCTTAAACACTTACCTACTGTCGATAAGAGATGACGATGTTTGCTACTGACAATGTTTGTGAAGCCAGTTCTGTGCACACACACCAACTACNGCTGCTTGACCACCAATCTTAAACACTTACCTACTGTCGATAAGAGATGACGATGTTTGCTACTGACGATGTTTGTGAAGCCAGTCCTGTGCACACACCAACTAGGTTTTGCCTCTGTGTTTCTACCTGTTCTCTACCCACTACACCCACCCACTCACCGATTCGCGATTTACAACATTACGATTATTACTACGATAATAATAAATTCAACTGTACTTTTCATTTATTATTATAAAACAATTTGTTACAAGATTGACTAAAGTGTTTATGAGGAGTGGCAACGAAGGGTTCTGGACGCTCATCAGTTGATGCGTTTTTGTGTGCTGTTGAGCTCGTGGCAGACGGTGATGTCGGTTACTCGAAGCATGCTCAGCGGCTCACGAGTGAAGTTGTATCGGCGGTTATTTCGGTCGCGAGGAATAGCTTTCATGTTGAAGTACGTTTGGGTCATTGTCTTCTCGACGACTACTGCTTCCACTTGCACCAGATCTCGGTTCAGCACGGGCCGTCCGATCAAGGTAAAGTCGCCGTTGCCGACGAGAAGGCACTTTTCCAGTTTTATCTTCTCACCTACATCAGCAGGTATCGCCTTTGGGATGGAGAAGATGTCGCCTATGTGAAGGAGGTACTGTCGACTGTAGAGGTGGATCACGGCAAATGTTTGCCCTAGATTTTTGGATCTGATCACCTCGTTGACTTTATCAAAGACCTCTTGTGGTGAAGCCTGCTCTTGACTGGAGAAGGCATGCTTCTGTGAGCTGGTGGTGATGTTCAGTGCTGACGGCGTCGTTGCTGTTGCCGTCCANCATCAGCAGGTATCGCCTTTGGGATGGAGAAGATGTCGCCTATGTGAAGGAGGTACTGTCGACTGTAGAGGTGGATCACGGCAAATGTTTGCCCTAGATTTTTGGACCTGATCACCTCGTTGACTTTATCAAAAACCTCTTGTGGTGAAGTCTGCTCTTGACTGGAGAAGGCATGCTTCTGTGAGCTGGTGGTGATGTTCAGTGCTGACGGTGTCGTTGCTGTTGCCGTCCAAATCGCGCCGGGTCCGGTGAAGTGAAAGTTACAGGCACCCAGCCTAGGGCCCAATCGGCCCACCAGTCGAACCAGAGAACTCATGTTTTGGTGGTTTGATGATGACCGAAGAACCGATGAACACAACAAACACAGAACAGCGCTGAAAAACACGTTGAAAAAATTGCACCCATTGATGCACCACACGCCATCTGCTGATGCTGAAACACGGTATGTTTTCAACGGATTTGAAAAAGAAGCACTCTTTTATTGACACAAAATCAACTGAGCTCAAAAGCAGCAACAGCAACATTGACCTCTCTTTTGACGCCTCTCTCTCCTCCTCCTTCTATCTTTCGTCGTCATTTGATCTTCGGATGTCATCGAGTATGTCTGACGGGTAAGTGTTTCTGGCGTCGTTCTTCTGACCACCTTCTTTTTCCGGTACTGCAAAGGAGTTCGATTGGGAG